AACTATAGTAATTTAAAGGGATAGTGTTATTGCTGGTGGGAATGCAAATTAAAGCAAAATGGGAGACTAACACCCAGGAGTGGCCGAGATTAGTACCAGGAATTTTGCTCCATGACTTAGAGGCCAGCCACACATGCTATGGGAAAAGGAAACTCAGATAGAGAAGGGAGCACCAAATAAAGGGTGTTGGGAGGATCCTCCCAGGATGGGAGAAGCAAGCTGAAAGTAGACTATAGACCAAACATGATTGCCACTCAATGCCTCTCTTGCAAATCACAGGACTCAAAAGGAGAGAGAGAGAACAAAAGGGAATGCCCTGCCACAGAGACAGGATGGGATGGGGGGGATGGGGGGTGGGAGGGATGCTGGGACCCGTGGTGGTGGAGGATGGGCGCTGGTGGAGGGATGGGTACTTAATCATTGTATGACTGAAACCCAAGCACAAAAATTTGTAAGTCTATAACTGTACCTCATGGTGTTTCACTAATAAAAAAAAAAAGAAAAGAAAGAATTAAAAATAAAGCAACTTCAGAGATAGATAAATGGGACTATCTTAAACTAAGAAGCTTCTGCACCTACAAAGAAACAGTGACCAAAATACAAAGACAGTCTACAGAATGGGAAAGGATATTCACCGAATACACATCTGACAAGGGGTTGATATCCAGGATATACAAAATACTGGTGGAACTCCACAAGAAGAAAACATCCAACCCCATCCAAAAATGGGGCAATGAAATGAACAGAAACTTTCTCAAAGAAGAAATCCAAATGGCAAAAAAGCACATGAGAAAATGCTCTACATCATTAATCATCAGGGAGATGCAGATCAAAACCACAATGAGATACCATCTCACACCTCAGAGACTGGCCCACATTCAAAAGAACAAAAGCAACCGATGCTGGCGTGGATGTGGCGAGAAAGGGACACTCCTTCACTGTTGGTGGGAATGTCGACTAGTTCAGCCCTTTTGGAAAACAGTATGGACGTTTCTCAAAAAATTAGAAATTGAGCTCCCATTTGACCCAGCAATACCACTCCTGGGAATATACCCCAGAGAGGCAAAAATGTGTAGTCGAAGTGACATCTGCACTTGTTTGTTCATTGCAGCACTCTTTACAATAGCCAGAAACTGGAAGAAACCTGAGTGCCCAAGAACAGATGACTGGTTAAAGAAACTCTGGTACATCTACACAATGGAGTACTATGTAGCTGTTAGAAAAGATGAAGTCATCAAATTTACATATAAGTGGTACAATATGGAAAGTATCATGCTAAGCGAAATGAGTCAGAAAGAGAGGGATAGACATAGAAAAATTGCATTCATCTGGGGGATAGAAAGCAACAAAATATGAGATCAATACCTAAGAATAGCTGAGATCAACACCAGGAGGATTACTCCATAACTTAGAGGCCAGCCGGATATTCTAGGGGAAAGGGCAGTTCAGATAGAGAAGGGAACACCAAATGAAAGGTGTTTGGAGGATCCTCCCAGGAGGGGAAATGCATGTTGAAAGTAGACTATGGACTGAACATGATTGCCACTCAATGCCTCTTTTGCAGACCACAACACCCAAAAGGAGAGAGAGAACACAGGGGATTGCCCTGCCACAGAGGCAGGGTGGGAGGGGGGGTGGGGGGAAATGGGCACTGGTGGGGGGATGGGTATTTGATCATTGTATGACCGAAACTCAGGCACAAGGATTTGTAAATCTACAACTGTACCTCATGGTGCTTCACTAATAAAAAAAAATTTAAAAAATTTTAAAAAAATAAAGCAACTTTAGAGGAAAAAAATTTAATAGGTTACCATGTGATTCAGCAATTTCACTTCTCGCTATCTGTCTAAATAACATTTTGAAATCAAGCAAAACAGTAATTCAAAAAAAATGTATGAACACCTGTGCTCAATGTAGCGCTATTTAAAATAGTTAAGATCTGCAAACAATCCAAGTACAGAGGAGTGGGTAAAGAAATTGAGGTATTCTGTAGTGCAAACCATCACTTAATCACTTAATCACTTAACTTCCCGTTAGTCGTCGATTTGCTCGAGCGGGCGCCAGTAACGTCTCCATTTGTCCCTGTCGCGTGCTAGTGTAGCCCAATGGCATCTCTTCGCTCCGGGAACATGGAGGGCCTCAAACCGATCGTTCATGACCTTGACAAAGAAGTCTGACCATCTGGTAGGTGGGCGGCCACGCGGTCTCTTGACATCCCGTGGAATCCAATCAGTAACAGCACTAGTCCAACGGTCGTCTTTAAATCTCATTACGTGACCAGCCCATCTGATTTTCGACACCTTGGCAAATGAGACAGCGTCCCTGATCCTTGATCGTCGACGGATGTCAGAACTCCGGATTCGTTCTCTCATTTGAGTGAAATGTGATATTCCAAGCATAGCTCTTTCTATTCTTCTTTGGGAGACCTGAATGGCGTTCTCATCTTGTTTGCGTAGGGCCCAGGTCTCTGAGGCATATGTTAATGCAGGAAGAACAGTGGAATCAAAGAGATGTGCCCGGAGCCGGAGGTTCTTCGTCCTCTTAGCTATTTCTTCGACGTTCTTGAAGGCGTTCCAAGCCGCTCTCTTCCTCCTGCGCAGCTCGGGTGCCAGGTCATTTGTCATGTTGACCTCTCGACCTAGGTACACATAGCTGTTGCATTCGGAGATGGCCGTTCCATTGAGAGCGAATGGGGCGTCAGGAACAAGGCTGTTTCTCATAAACATTGTCTTCGTAAGATTCAGCTCTAGTCCTACCTTTCCACACTCACGGTCAAAATCGGCCAGCATTTGTGCCGCTTGGCTGATGTTTGGTGTTATTAAAACAATGTCATCAGCAAAGCGGAGGTGGTGTAGTTGCCGACCATCTATCTTCACTCCCATTCCTTCCCATTCCAGTCGTCGCATGATGTTCTCGAGGGTGGCACTGAAGAGTTTTGGTGAAATGGTATCACCCTGCCGCACCCCTCTCTTGACATCAACGATCACTTCTTTGTAGAATGGTGAGATCCTGGTAGTGAATCCGCAATACAGCTCACGGAGGATCCTGATGTATTGGGCTTGAATGCCCTGATTGGCTAGGGCTTCAATGACCGCTTCCGTCTCAACAGAATCAAAGGCCTTCTTTAAATCAATGAACGTTAAGCAGAGCGGCATCTTGAACTCCCGAGAAACCTCAATGAGTTTGGTTATCGTGTGGATATGGTCGATGGTGCTGAATCCTTTGCGGAACCCTGCTTGCTCACATGGTTGTCCTTCATCTAGTGTTCTGCCAATCCTATTCAGGATGACTCGAGTGAACAACTTGTAGATGACAGACAATAGGCAGATCGGGCGATAGTTGCCAATGTCATGGATGTCTCCCTTCTTGAACAGTAGTACGGTCCTGCTGGTTTTCCATTGAGATGGAACCTTGCATTCAGACAGGTAGCGAGTGAAGAGCCGAGCCAGTGTATTGATGAGTACTGACGGCAGGTTCTTCAGGTGTTCAGGTCTGACCTTCTCTGGGCCGGGTGCTGTTTGCTTCTTTACTGACGAAATGGCGTGTCGGATTTCGGAAGGGAGAACGTTGGGAACGACATACCCATCCTGTGGAATTTGGTATGTCGGCAAGTGGACATGGCTATCGAAGAGATTTGAGTAGAAGTCATGGATAATCTTCTCCATTGCCGTTCTGGAGGATGTGATGGATCCATCAGGACGTCGGAGGGCAGTCATCTTGGTCTTATAGTTGGCGAAGGACAGGCGGGCGTTACGAATACTTTTCCCGGCTTCTGCCGCATCTACCAGTACTTCTGCTCTTCTCTCTTTGAGGTCTTCCTTGATCGCATCTCTGCACTGCTTTGCAAGCCCGGACGTTAGCTTGCGGTTGCCTGAGGCATGCGCCAAACCACGCTGGCGAATTAGCTCAAGAGTTTTCGAAGATAGGCGACTTTTTGTGGCTATCTCTCTCTTGGCGTTCCTCGCACATTCATGGAGGTGCTGAACCAGTCGATCGTATTCCTTGTCAATGTTGTCAACAATGGCATCTTCCCATGTTGCCGCAATAGTACCAAAGAGTTCCCAGTTGGTGGTCGTTCTGGGAGTTCTCTTTTTGAACTTTGCAGCCCTTTCTCCCCGCTCTGTGAAGTAGAATTTTGCACGAAGGAGACGGTGGTCCGATCCCGTTCGAAATTTTGGGACAACAGCGACATCAGTCAGGCAAAACCGTCGATTGAATATGATGTGGTCTATTTCGTTGTGGAATCGTCCACCGGGAGACTCCCATGTCCATCATGGACACTACTTCCACTACCCAGCCGTCGCCACACTCCAGGACGCTTTCCGGACCCGCGCGGCAGCTCCGGCCGAGACCCACGCACAACTGAAGACCCACAGAACAAGGTAAGCGGAACACTCTGAGACCTTGGACTCCAGGCTCGGCGGACCCAGGGACAGAGCTTCTCTGCTTGCTCCCACCACCACAGGTGACAAAGGGATTCTAATCAGGAGCCCCACCCTACCCTGCCCTGTCTGCTTCCATCAACCGCCCAGGGATCGAATTGTGCACAGGAGACCCACCCTACCCAGATAAATACCCCACTGGCAGACTTCCACTCTCGACACTACTTCCACTACCCAGCCGTCGCCACACTCCAGGACGCTTTCCGCAAGCGGCCGCGCGACACATCATAAGACACTAAATACCCGTCTTCTGGAATTGTCTACCATATTTGATAGGGTTCAAATATGGTAACACCTACAAGGGTGATTAGAGGTCACCCCAAAAGCCTCTATACCTCTCGGAAAGACTGGCAAGCTACCGAGAGTATTCCGCCCGCACGGAAGAGCCTGGCAAGCTATCCGCTGTGTATTCGATATGCCAAAACCAGTAACTACAACTGGTCTCATTCACCTGACCCTGAAGGCTTCACCGACATGGCAGCACTGAGAAGGATGAGAAAGGAGAGGCCGACAAAATCTCAAGGCCGACCTAGGCTGCCACAACGAAGGAAGACAAAAATGATCGTCTGTACTTTCAATGCACGTACGCTAGCATCAGATGCATCCATCGAGGACCTGATGGTACAAGCGCGAATGATCAAGTACGACATCATTGGTCTGACCGAGACAAGAAGACACGAATCTCACCATGCCGTTTTCGACACTGGAGAAGAATTGTTCCTCGGAACATGCGATAAAAGAGGTGTTGGAGGCGTCGGTGTCCTTGTCAACACAAACTTGGCCAAGAGCATTGATTCATTCGAATGCCTAACAACCCGAATCGGACGTTTACATTTGAATAGATGTGGCTCACTGCCTGCAGTTTCTATCTGCGTTGTCTACGCACCAACATCTCATTATGATGAAAGAGAAATCGAGAAGTTCTACATGGAGCTAGAGAAGTTCTATAAAGAAGACCACACCTTCTACAAGATCATTGTGGGTGATTTTAATGCCAAGATAGGACCGAGAAGATCAGCTGAAGAACTTCACATCGGAACCCATGGCCTAGAATGGAACGAACAGGGTGAGAGACTGTCTGAGTTCATCATGTCGACCAAGACCATTCATGGTAACTCACAGTTCCAGAAGGCAGAATCTAAACGAGTGCAAACCATAATTCCCAAAAAGAAAGAGAGAAAGAGAGAAGGAGAGAGAGAGAGAGAGACAGAGAGACAGAGAGAGACAGAGACAGAGACAGAGACAGAGACAGAGAGACAGAGAGAGAGGGGAGACTGCAGGAGGGGTCATGGTTCTTGTCTTGCATGTGGCTGACAACTATTTGGTCCCTGGTGCTGCAGATGGTCCTCTCACACAGAAGCAAGAGTTCATTCTGAGCACTGCTGGTGTGTCCCTTCCCCCAACCAGTTGAGACTGACTTATATAATATATTTTGGTTACTATTCCCCCTTGGAAGGGGACGGGTTGAGTTTCCCTCCCCGCCCCGAGCAGAGCCCCGGCAGCCGAAGACCTCCAGAACCAGCCACAACCATGCTGAGACCACTCTCCACACGCATGAAGGTACCGGCAGAGGAACAAAGGCATGCGGGTCCCGGGGCTGAGATCTCCAAGCCTGCTCTGATCGGGGCTGAGCTTCCTCCACCCAGATCCTCCATCTTCCAGTAGGCAGGGGTAACCCCACCAACTGCCCCCCGGCACCGTGTAATCCCATAAACAGACAAGACCCAGAGAATATAAAACCCATCTCCCGGAAGACATCTTATTATCTCATTCTTACTTTGTACAACCTGGCAGGCTGCCGAATGTAACCTGCCCACATGGCAGAGTCTGACAAACTCCCCATGGTGTACCCAATATACCAAATACCAGTAACAATGATGGGTCTCATTCTCCTAACCCTGAAAGAGTCTTGAATATGGCACTTTTTAAAATCTCAGGGCTAGGACGAAGGAGACGTTACTGGGGCCTGCTCGAGGCAATCGACGAACAACAGGATAATCGTGATCGTGATAGTGACTATTTCCACATGCAATCATGAGAAAAATGACCACTGTTGTATTCTGTATTTTTTGCTTACATAAAGTCTGGAGGGCCAGAGAATATTTTAAAAATTAATTATTTTCAATCAACATAATCCATCATATCAACAAAAGAAAAGATAAAAAGCATATGATTATATCAATAGATGCAGAGAAAGCATTTGACAAGATCCAGCACCCCTTTATGATGAAAACCCTAGCCAAAATGGGTATAGAGGGGACCTTTCTCAACATAATTAAAGCCATCTACCACAAGCCTACAGCAAGCATCATCCTCAATGGGGAAAATCTGAGAGCCTTCCCTCTAAGATCAGGGACGAGACAGGGATGCCCACTATCTCCACTGCTGTTCAATATAGTACTGGAAGTACTTGCAATAGCGATTAGGCAAGAAAAAGATATTAAGGGCATTCAGGTAGGAAAGGAAGAAATCAAGCTCTCACTATTCGCAGATGATATGATACTCTACTTAGAGAACCCAATAACCTCCACCAAAAAACTCCTAGAAACAATAGACTCGTATAGTAAAGTTGCAGGTTATAAAATCAATACCCAAAAGTCCATGGCTTTCCTATGCGCAAACAGTGAGAGAGAAGAAAGCAACATGAAAAAAACAATCCCATTCACAATTGTGCCCCAGAAAATCAAGTACCTAGGAATCAGCTTAACTAAGGAAGTAAAGGACCTGTACAAAGAAAACTACAAAACGCTACTTCAGGAAATAAAAGAGGACATGAGGAAATGGAAAGATATCCCCTGCTCATGGGTCGGGAGACTTAACATTGTCAAAATGGCAATACTACCGAAAGCATTGTATAAATTCAATGCAATCCCTATAAGGATACCCAAGCCATTCTTCAAAGAAATGGAGCAAACACTCCTGAAATTTATATGGAACAATAAATCCCCACGAATAGCTAAAGCAATTCTTGGGAAAAAGAAAATGGGAGGAATCAACCTCCCTAACTTCAAACTGTACTACAAAGCAGTAATAATTAAAACAGCATGGTACTGGAACAAAGGCAGAACTGCAGACCAATGGAACAGGGTTGAATACACTGACATCTCCCCTCAATCATATGATCATCTAATCTTTGATAAAGGTGCAAGTAATGTAAAGTGGAGTAAGGAAAGCCTCTTTAATAAATTGTGTTGGCATCACTGGATGGCTACATGCAAAAAAATAGGCTCAGAACTCTGCCTAACACCATGTACAAAAGTAAGATCAAAATGGATTAAAGACCTCAACATCAGACCAGAAACCATAAGGTACATTGAAGATAAAGTTGGCAAAACCCTCCATGACATTGAAGCTAATGGTATCTTCAAAGATGCCACGCCACTGGCCAAGCAAGTGAAAACAGATATAGATAAATGGGACTATCTTAAACTAAGAAGCTTCTGCACCTACAAAGAAACAGTGACCAAAATACAAAGACAGTCTACAGAATGGGAAAGGATATTCACCGAATACACATCTGACAAGGGATTGATATCCAGGATATACAAAATACTGGTTAAACTCCACAAGAAGAAAACATCCAACCCCATCCAAAAATGGGGCAATGAAATGAACAGAAACTTTCTCAAAGAAGAAATCCGAATGGCAAAAAAGCACATGAGAAAATGCTCTACATCATTAATCATCAGGGAGATGCAGATCAAAACCACAATGAGATACCATCTCACACCTCAGAGACTGGCCCACATTCAAAAGAGCAAAAGCAACCGATGCTGGCGTGGATGTGGCGAGAAAGGGACACTCCTTCACTGTTGGTGGGAATGTCGACTGGTTCAGCCCTTCTGGAAAGCAGAATGGACGATTCTCAAAAAATTAGAAATTGAGCTCCCATTTGACCCAGCAATACCACTCCTGGGAATATATCCCAGAGAGGCAAAAATGTATAGTCGAAGTGACATCTGCACTTGTTTGTTCATTGCAGCACTCTTTACAATAGCCAGAAACTGGAAGAAACCTGAATGCCCAAGAACAGATGACTGGTTAAAGAAACTTTGGTACATCTACACAATGGAGTACTATGTAGCTGTTAGAAAAGATGAAGTCATGAAATTTACATACAAGTTGTACAATATGGAAAGTATCATGCTAAGCGAAATGAGTCAGAAAGAGAGGGATAGACATAGAAAGATTGCATTCATCTGGGGGATATAAAGTAACAAAATATGAGATTAATATCCAAGAATAGCTGAGATCAGCACCAGGAGGATTACTCCATAACTTAGAGGCCAGCCGGGTATCCTAAAGGGAAGGGCAGTTCAGATAGAGAAGGGAGCACCAAATAAAGGGTGTTTGGAGGATCCTCCCAGGAGGGGAGATGCATGTCGAAAGTAGACTATGGACTGAACATGTTTGCCACTCAATGCCTCTTTTGCAGACCACAACACCCAAAAGGAGAGAGAGAACACAGGGGATTGCCCTGCCACAGAGGCGGGGGGGATTGGGGGTTGGGGTTGGGGGGATATTATCCATGGTGGTGGAAAATGGGCACTGGTGGAGGGATGGGTATCTGATCATTGTATAATTGAAACCCAAGCACAAAAAATTGTAAATCTACAACTGTACCTCATGGTGTTTCACAAAAAAAAAGAAAAGAAATTTTAAAAAATTAATTATTTTTAAAAATTAATTATTTTAATTTAGTCACCATGACATGACAAAGTTATTCAAGGTTGAGTTTCAGGCTTATATATTTTTGACACCAATCCCTTTACCAGTGTCCACTTTGCCTCCTAGTCTGTCTCTATGACGGGCACTTTTTTAATATGTAAGTTTTGCACTGTGGTTTACGGGACTGCTGCTGATAGGGTTTCATACATGACACTTAACCACCTTTTAGGCCCACCTTCACCTCCTGGTGGGTCTTCCTTCTACCAGAGATGTTCCTCCTCCCTGAGCTGTCCCCCAGCCCCTTGGGTGCCATGTCTCTGACCTAAGACCAGTTCACACGATCTTTGTTCCATTGTCCTTGGGCACTTGTTACTCCACCACTGTGTTTCTCTACATCCCAAACATGAGAGAGGTCCTTCTGTGTCGGCCTCTCTCCCTGCCACAGAATATTTTCTACTTACGTTACATTTCAGTTCCCACCCACAGTGACCTCTCCAGCTCCCTCTACGCTGACTAGGAATTAGCCAAGACATCATTGCTGAAGTTGGAAGCAGTGGATCTGGTCTTCTTTCATGTACTTGAACTCAAATGAAATGAACTCAGATGAAAGTTCAAGTTCACCCTCATTGGCAGATACTTTTAGAGAAAAAGTGACTGCCATGTCACTTTTTCTGGGTGAACCTCTCTGGGTAATTCTCATTTGCTGTTAACTCAATAATTACTTCTCTCTGCTGTGCTTTGCTGCAGGTATTTAATATTTTGTTAAAGAGTGATGGAATATTAGGCAGACCAAGAACCAAGACTTTTTTCCTGAAACCTTTCAACCGTAGGAGGAAAATATGAAATGGGATATAAAGATCCTGATCCAGCACATTATGAAAAGCACATTTGACAGTAAGATACTGTAAACGGCTTTGAGTACCAAAAACAAACAGTGACTTTCAGTAGGTGCTACCAAGATTTACTTTCACTACAGGAAGCATGCTTTTTATTAAATAAGAAAGTTCTTTATTTTTACAGCATTTACACAGATAGATACTTTTATCCAGGAACCTACATTCAGTAATGTTCCTCAGCAAGTAACCCTTATGGCAAATGTAAGATTATATGATCTATCCTTTTCAATCTGGCATTTCATTATTATCTAGGTACAAGTACTTGAGATTGGAAGATAAATATATATATATATATATATATGGGCTGGAGTGATAGCACGGTGGTAGGGCATTTGCCTTGCTCGTGGCAAGCCTGGCTGAGCCAGGTTCGATTTCTCTGCCCCTCTTGGAGAGCCTGGCAAGCTACCGAGAGTATCTCACCTGCACGGCAAAGCCTGGCAAGCTACCCCTGACGTATTCAATATGCCAAACACAGTAACAACAAAGTCTCACAATGGAGACGTTACTGAGCCCACTCGAGAAAATCGATGAACAATGGGAAGACAGTGACAGTGATATATA